ACCCAAAAGACATGTGTAAAATAATTGTAAAGCTAAACCCTCTCACAAATACGTTTTGCTTATATGCTATCTGTATGATCTTGTGAGCACCTGCTACTATGAGAAGTGAGATAAGATGCTTTAAACATGAACAGATACATTCATTTAGTAGCTACTGAAGTTAAACTCGAACTGAAGCAACAGGTGAACAAGACAGGCCAAACCAGGTGGAGATCTCAGGGAAAGAGTCTCAAAAGCTCCCGTGAATGAAAAGTCTGTTTAAACGTTACAAGGAATATGATCACGAAAAAAGAAAGAAAGAAAGACCCATTTTCTAGGTATAAGCAGCGTAATTCTCGAGATAAATGACTATAGGAAGATAGCACAAACAGTAAGTTATCCCGGCTCAAACAACGTCCCTGCAGTGAGCGTTTCCATTACCTATGGTCTCATCCACCCTGAGCATTCCAATCCCGATTTCCAGTCCGTGGTAAACAACCCCTTGATTTAACAGATAACCCGCCTGGCACAAACAGCACAAATGTTCACATATTTTCGGCGGTAGGCTTTATCCTTGTAGTGTAGTATTCCATCGCGGATTGGGGAGAGTCGAAAATCCTCGTCTCACTGCCGAAAGTGATCCGCAGTCGTGCCTATCTGACGTCTGCCTTGCGAAGCCTTCTGGTATTAAAACAATACGTAAATTGCAACGTCTCCCTCTATTCTCCAGGTCTTCCATTTTCAATTGTAATTTAGCATTATCTTAAGCTAGCTAAATACTGCGGGCTTCCAGAGAATCAATCCGGACGGCCAGGGTGTTTAAACCTTCCTGATGATCAGCAAGTTGAGTCTTACATTCATCCAATTCAGCTCTTACTGGGGCAATTGCAAGTCTGTCTTGAGCGAGGAAACTTCATCTTGAATCACTTCCCTTACAATTCTGCGGATGTCCTCTAGCATGTTGTTGTGTTGATCATTAGCCTCAACTGTGCTACTGGATAAGCTAGCAGTCGTCTTGTTCACCTTTGGAGGCATGATAGCTGCACATATATCCCGATAGTAGATCACATATAGCTTTAAGCTTAAACTGGGTCAAGTTTTGGTCGAATTAGAACAAAAAATAGCAGGATGTTAATGGGTTTATTATGAAGTATCAGGACCACCTGTTAGATCCGTCTACTCCATTAGACGCCTCCCGCTATTTTGTGCATCCTCCCATCATTAACTGACAGCTGCACATAGAACACACTCCTGAAACACACCTGCCCTACATACACCTTAAGGACTTCCTCCACAAGTCTCTCTTTGGTCTCTCTAACTTGTTATTGCAGTGCAGCGTATGGCCCAGATCTCTGCACCTGCTTTTTGTTGTCTTACCCCTGAGGGTGTCAGGAAGTGAAGGTGCTACATATCTGGGCCTTGTTCTCATCAGAGAGCCACGCAGCCACTTTTTTTTTGATGACTGCGACATAGATATCGCTTAGAACACACTATGTCCAAAAAGGCTGCATGCGCTGTGAGTTTTAGAGGTCATACAGATACATGCCAGGTGTAGATTACCACCTCTGGCTGTCCTGCTTTTCAGGTGACTTTCATGGAACGTTGAGGACAGTTTGCTCATACGGGAAAGTGACATGTGGTCTGATTTGCAAAAGTGAGGTAGGGAGGTCCTACTATTCCTGGAAAGGTGAATAAACACGGTCCAGTGTGTTTGCACCGCTATGGAAATGATCTAGTAGTATCTCAGCGGGACTTTTTCATGTTGCCGCTGTTAAAATTGAAAGTAAGGTCAATACCATACAGCTTCTCCAGCGCTGTGTTGTTGTTGTCAGTAGGGGTGGGCGGATCGATCCCAAAATATCGATACTTCCGATATTACGTTACGTTTCAAAATATCGATACTAGAGCCAATAGGATTGATACTTTTATACTTTTTTTCCCGTCTCCTCTACTCGTCAATTTCTTCAAAAAACTATGTGCGCCATATAGATAGATTCTATTATATCATGGCTCTGGTGCAGACGAACACAAGTATATGCGCTCTTTTCTTCTCCTCTCCTCGAGGCTCGCGCACGCGCAGCGCCCTCCCTGCCTGAACGCCGATTATCAAGCTGACTCACAGCAGTTGTCAGCGTGTAACAGAATGTAAACACAACAGACTATCATCCGATCATGATGTGCTCTACAGTTGGAGAAGGACAATCTCTACATCTAAGTACCACATGTTGTTGACTATGAAATAAACACCGCCTCCCTTACTGTTCTCTGAGATTGTTGTCTGGTCGACACATGGAGAATCAATGGGGGGAAATGGTGGAGTCTGCTATCCAGGGGTCAAGCCAATATGTGAAAACCATGACATTAAAAGTTGAATAGGAGCTAGAGACAAGGCAGATATCTACCCTGCCAAATTACCTTGACAAAGAAAAGGAATTTCTTCAGGCATTCCTTCGTCATTATAATAAATACAAATAGCGTGAAAATGCATCATTTACTGCACTCCTGTTTTTGTTAAAACACAAAAGAATAACCTCCTCCCTTTCATTTCCTCGACAGCAGTCAGATTGTTCTTGAAAAAGATGTTGCACTAGTCAAATTCCCCTCAGGGACAATAAAGACTTTCTCTGTGTTCTAGTTGTTGCAAGTGCTGACTTCAGCACAAACATAATTTTTCAGGGACACCCAGCCTATCCCTTTATTCTTGCAGAGAATTTGAGGCTGTAAAATAGCTGAGATGAGATGGAGAGCTTTGATTTACCTCAGAATGTATCACCCGGCTGAAAGTGCTCGGAGGCTCAGAGGGTGCCAGGCTCTCCACTATTCTGCTTATTGATCGGCTCTGTTTGTTCATTGCTGACGTTCCTGCGAAATCTGCTGGGCTCTGTGTTTTACTGGAAAGCAGGAGGTGGGGGTTGAATGTGTGTCCTGGTCTTACCTGCACCGGTGGAAAATCAAAGCAAACTGCTCTGTATGTTCAAATAATGAATATACAAACAGGGAGATAACACAGAGAACATGATTTTAACTTTAAACACATGAACCTGAAGTTTACATACACTGTAGTCACCAATGAATGTTTTTTTTATCAGACTGGATAACTTAAAAGCAATGCACAAAACATGTAGATACATTCACTTTGAGGTAATATAGTCTGTAAAGGGGTCAGTTGCTCACATTTATCATGTACTTTTTACTCCTGTGTAATGTCTGTCAGTCCCAGAATACCCAATATTTAACCAAACGTTTTGAACTCTAAGAAAGTGAATGCAGCAACTTTTCTGGTTTCATAAGCCACCGAGTAACTTTGGGCTTGAACACAGCCCTTCCTCCAATGCTGTATCCTCTTTATCCACCGTGGTTCAGACACATGTGATCCCGCAATCATACTGATTACATCTTTTGGAAGTAAGGCCGTTCACAGACCGTGACGCCAGACTGAAAACCACTTGAATAAAGTACATTTAATGTAAATGAATTCAGTTTTATGGTATTTTTTATTAGCATTTACAGTATCTTCCTTCTTTAAAAGATGCTCAGAAAACAGACACCTTATGATTGGATTCCACAACATAGAAAACTGAAACTTCAGTGAACCACTACTATGACCAAACAAATCAGACAAGACACTCGGACTGAAAGAAAATAACTTAATGAGAATTCAAAATACCACTTCATGAAGTGTTTGTAATAAGAAAGTTGTCAGAGGCCTTATAAAACTAAAGGAAAAGACAAAAAGGAAAGCAGGAGGCAGGCAGACCTGTCTCAGCAGTCTGCACATCCTCGTAAAGCAGAGGAGGAACGCTGCTTTTTGCTCTTTTCTGAGACTCCCATCTAGTAAACCCTGCCTGAAAACTGAGCCATTCTTAATGATTATAATCACACAGACACTAATTTGGTTTCTTTAAGCAAATGCCATGTGTTTCTTTATAGAGAGCTGCAGGAAAGAGTCTTAAAGCCCAGAAATTCTGTTAGGGAAGTCAATGCAATGTTTTGGTTGTAGATATGTGGGTAACACAATAGACTTTAACATTCTTTACCTCCACATAAATATATGAGTATATCCCCCTCTGGTGAGTATTAAAGCTTTCAAGTGACTAAATGAGACTACTAAACTTCACCAACATTAGCTGCCTTTAGCTTAGCTATGTTGATATGAAGTCATGTGACAGTGCTGTAGTTCCTTCATAGCCTCGCGTTAGCTTTCTTCTCCAAAATGATAACAGTGGTGTTTATGTACGAGAGATGATGTGTAAGTATCATAGATTTGTATACCGGGAGGAAATCTTTTTAATAAACCAGAAGCCAATGTCATATACCGATCTCTTTTGTCAAGATCAAATCAGGGCGTAACTTATTTGGTTAGCCTATACAAATACTGTAGAGCACCTGATGCTATCTGTAAACACTTTCGCTTTTAAATTCAGTAAAATGCTGGGTAATGCCTGTGTCAGTAAAAGTCAGATGATCATGACACTTAATACCAGAGGGCAACATCACTGAGTGGATGATTGTGATACTGTTGACTGTTATGGATCTACCAGCAATACACAGAGCCAGATAACTGTCAGAGTGCACCATTTCTTGATAGTAGATGCAATTAAATCCCCCTATGACCATTCATCATAGGAAAGTACATTCAGGGTCATCTTTCCTTGTGAATCAGAATCAAAATACCTTTATTCGTCTTACCTTTATTTTTACAGCAGAAAAGAGCCAAAGACAGCTTAATATTAACTGAGAAGCATGCATAAAAAAAAAATGTAAGATAAAAAAAATTACACCATTTACAAAACACACATCCTGTAACAGTTTTGAAGATATAAAAGCCAGGTATATAATGCAGTTATTGACGGCCGATATATATTGCACATCATTTGTATTTCACAACAAGGGGTGTTATAGAATAGTCATGAAACATGCATAGTACAATTGTATGTTGTGCGTGACAAATACAAAAACAGAAGAAATCCAAAATATATTTCTCCTCATTTGTCTTTCTTGTGATTGATTTCCTCTTTCAGGGTTTGACCTCGGGGGTCAAGTGGCCATCGGCTTCTCCCATTGGAAGAGTCCTTTCCCAGCGAGCGGCCACAACCTCCCGAGTCCGGACTGCGTTCACTCGGAGGCCTCCGCCGTCCCGTCCATTAGCAAGCATCTGGAGCCGGTGTCCTGCCCAGCGTCGCTGTCAATCACCCCGCTGCCCACCAACAGCGCCAGTCAGGAGACCCTCTGTGACAGCAGCACCAGTACGTGGAGTGTGGCGCAGTACATGTTTTAAACCAGGGGTGTCCAAACTACGGCCCGGGGGGCAAATGTGGCCCGTTGTCCATTTCTAATGGGCCCTCAGTAAATTCTTAAAGGTCACCTATGCATACGTTTTTTCTAAATGTAGTGACTCATCCTAACTTCACATTGCATTGGTTTATTATCAAATTCATAGACATCTTCTTTTTATTACTTGGTTTGAAGCTCAACTATTATGTAAAATCCACTTTTTCGTGTCTTTTATACATAAACATGTGTTCCCTCTGCGTAAAGAGATTCTGAAAGTTTCAGGAAAAAAGATTCGCTCACTTTTTGTCCTGATCCATTTATATAAAAACCTGTCTGAAAATGAGCTGATCAGATGTTGGACACTTTATGATGTCATAACGATTTTTTGGCTTGTGTAACCATTAGCCAATAACCAACCAAGGTAACCCCCCCCCCACACCTTATCACCTGAATCTCCTCCTAGAGCATCATTGTGTTCTTTTTAACCAAATCTCTCTCAGAGGGGTGTGGGGAGTGGCTCCTTATTTCCATCTAAAGTAACAGACAGAGAATCAGCACTTTTGAAACAGGGCTGAAACAGAGGGGATTATGGGATGCTACAATGCACAGTTTGGTATTTCGAGTCCAACACTTCAGAGACATGTTTGATATATCTGAGACCTATAATATATTGATGAAAAGCAGTATAATGGGAGACCTTTTAAAGTATGATGATAAATGGCCCCCACCTGAAACTTGTGCTTGTCTTATATTGTACTTCTTAAATATATATGTGAGCCTATATTACACAGTAGTTTTCATGTGTTAATAAGCCCACTTTTCAAATACATTCAGTCAATTAGAGGTGAGAACATGTTCTAACAAATATTAGTTTTATTTCCATAACAAGATTTAAATAGACCCTTCATGTTTCCTCTTATTTTAAGGGATGAGCTGCAACAGGATAACTGAAACCCTATGGAGAGCTGTGATGTTTCTTAAATCATATTCAAGTAAAGCATCATTGACCTACATTTGATTGATTTTGCTAACTTGCAGTATACCTCACCGGACCCAGCCCTTTGTATTTTTTCTGTATGTGGCCCTCAGTGAAAAATGTTAGGACACCCATGTTTTTAAATCATCAGTTTACTGGAGCAGCAGACTTTTAAAGCGCACACATTCACATTTTAAAGATCATGCTTGTATTTAGGGTTTCTATTAGACCATGTTCAGAAAAAAACATTATTATACTGTCCATCTGAGTATAACTGTATTTATCTTCTGTCTCTTTAAGCTTCCCTCCTCAAAAAGCCCAGTCTGCTGTGATTGGCTGTAGTATGTTTTTTTCTAATGTTATTAATTAAAAAATGTCTTGAGCCCTTGGCAGAGACAATTTACACATTGATATCTAAAATGATTTTAGATACAAAATGTACATGTCATCGTTTAAGGCATAATGAAGCTAACGGTAGTCTGTGTTAAACGCATCAATTAAATATATTTCCCGAGCTTTTTCAGTACATAGTTAGCACAGAGTTATATTTGTACTTTAAAGACTTAAATGTTATGACACATAATGCTTTGATAGTAGAAATATTAGCTTTGTAAAAAACTAAGAAATGCATATTTTAAATATTTTCCCCCATCACGTAAAGATCCCATGTCATGCTTTTGCGGTTATTACCCGTCCCCTTGTGTGCTATGTAGCTTTGTATGCATGTAAACGGTCTGCAGAGTCAGAAACCCTCAAAGTACACCCTGTAGCGAGTAAAACTCTAACACAGAAAAGATCTCCCCAAAACGCCTCGTTGGAGATTTTTCATTTTCCATTTTTTTCTTCCTGGGTATGGTGGACCAAATGGACCAATTTGGTCCAACAAGCCGTTTAGGACAAAGAGTGAATACACATACTATACAGAGATGCTGTATGAGAAACCAATGTGAGTTTGGAAAATTGCACAATTTAAATCTATTCTAGTAGACCTCAACAATGGTACTATGATCAGTAGAAATGGCCATGTCATGGGACCTTTAAATTGAAATATATTAAAGAAGAGATCTCTTCAGGGTCATCAAGGCCAGAAGGAATGATTACAGCATTATATTTCAATATTCTCATTATGTATATTGTTGCTTTTGTAAGGGAAACTTCTGCAGCAATGGAGAGTCAGGACTCAGAGAGACACGAGGAGAGTTGGAGCTTTGATGTCAAACACTGGTAGTTTATTACAAGTCAACGGCCGGAGAATTCATATCACAAGTCACAGCAGCAAAAGGTTCTGACTGCACGGGTGGGTTGTCATGTCAATTCTGATCAGCCTATCTCTCGATAGACCTTTTAACTAGTTTACAGAGAGTTAATCAGCATATTGGGGGAGGCGTAAACATCTGTGGAGCTAGAGGAGATTATCCCCCAACTAGAAATACTCAATCACTTGTCAGTGGCGTTTAGAAGCCAGCATTCTCATAGTCGTAAACCCCCCCATCAGGCCATAAAACTAACACTTAAGTGCTGGAGCACATTCCTTAAAGGAGATAACAGAATATTGGTTGGTTATTAACGTCAACAGGCAATAAGGTTAAATATCGAGTAAAGACAAATGTATTCCCTCACAGCTTTAGACTTGAAAAAAAAAATCTTACCGTATAATATCTACTTAATTGTGTCCTTGGCTTTCTATGAAAAGGTACACTGACACTGTCATTGTTTTGGCTACAGCAACACTGACACATCTAGCCCTTTTTTCTGATTGGACGCTGAGAGAGCAGCTTAACCTCTGATTGGCTGCCAGGGAAGACTGATCAAGAATGCCGATGAACGGCACGCAGCTCCTCTCCCTCTCTCACTCTCTCACTGTAAACATCCTGCTCATGCTTGTGTTTTTCTCCAGAGGAGATCTTTGACAGCTTGTGGTCATATAGCGTCTCTGACAGACCTGTCCATGTAGGAGTATGTGTGTGTGGGTGTGTGTGTGTGTGTCCAATGTGATGTTGGATCGACGGATGCGGTGATGAGGATTAAGGAGTAGGAAGTGGGGATGCTGCTTTTCCTCTTGGGACGTCGCGTTTGTTTGTTTCCTCAGCGAGGTCATTTGCACGCTGGGGCTGGGGGGGAAGGAGGGGTGACTGGTGTGTGTTTGTGCATGTGTGTATGGGGAAGGATCTCCTGGCTGTTTTGGCGTCTGCTGCGGCTCTGCTGGAAAGCCCCCCCCCTCCCCTCTCTCCCTTCCTCCCCCTCTGAAAGGTGAAGCTGCCTCTCTTCCTCTCTCCACCTTCACTCGGTGAGTGTTGTCAAGTTGTCTTGAAGCAGAGGCAGCTTGTTCACCAGTGTTCTCTTTTATTTTTTTTGCTGCAGTGCTCTCTCTCTCTCTCTCTCTCTCTCTCTCTCTCTCTCTCTCTCTCTCTCTCTCTCTCTCTCTCTCACCATGCAAGCATTTGACCTTCACACACACACACACACACACACACACACACACACACCACACACACACACACACACACACACACACACACACACACACACACCCACACGTGATCGTTAGCAGACAGGAAGGTCTCAGATTATGTGTTTGATGGATACATCCAAGACATCAAACTGAAACAGTGTAAAAGTTAGTAAAAACACCACCTAGCATTTTTAAGGGGCAACACTATCCTGAAAAGCAAGACACTGTTGCGATTGGTAAAAAGCAACAGCAACATGGACTGTATAGACAGTTCCCATATTTACACAGTGTATAGGTGTAGAAGTTGTATCACCAATGAATGCTGTGCTAACATATATTGCTAACACTTCTGGGAAATCAGTTTCAACATTTCAAAAAAAGTTTAACTGTGACAAACTCGATAGATCTTTAACGATTGGTGCCAATTCTATGGAGCCGAGCTGTGTTGTTGACAGATCCTGGAGCAGGATTAACCAGAATGTGTTCAGATGTCAACGTAGTACCACACATAGAGTCACGTCTATGTTAGAAGCAGTGTTCTTGATTTACATGTGTTAAATGCTCCAAAAACACCAGATCCTACACTTCCCATCAGGTGTCAGATCATCCCCAGCATTCTTAAATGTCTCCTGTGTGTGTTTGGTGGGATGCAATCAGTCTGTTTTCTGCACTGGTTCAGACCATAACATTTCCTAATTAGGTTTATCAGGTTCTCAGCACTGGGTTTGAATCCAAAGTCTCACTAGTATTAATATGCTCTCAAAATGTGAGTTCTTTCAATTGATCGCGGTGGGAGCTGACGAGCCCACATGAAAATTAACTGAATGGGTTTTATTTCTTAAAAATAAAGTCAAAGCAAAACAACGATGTTAATGTAACGTATGTCTGAGCACTGTGTATCATACAGAAAAACACAGACTGAAAAATTAGAGCCCTGTCTTTCCATTAAGTCATGTAGGCCTGTTGAATGTGCAATCGTGTGGTTTGTGGAGTTACTCTCTGCCTCTAAATAACTAATTAAGAAGGGAGAAAATTGTGTGACGTAGCATTAATATGCATTTTTGGCTATGTCAGGACAGCCATCTCACTTTGTTTAGTCCTTGTTCTACTAAAGCAGTGAGAGCAAGAGGCTGTGTGTTTTGGCTCTGGTTACAGTCTTACAACAGGGTGGTTACAGTTTGATGGTCACATTGTTTTACTGGCCACTGTCTTGGTACAGCAGGTTGTAGGCTCATGTATGATGTTTCAGTATTTGAGGGACAACATTATAGTAAGATGTTCTCGATCCCGTTAAGAAGACCGCTGTGTGTCCTGAGCAGGGGCGGATCTACGGGGGGCAAGGGGGGCAGCTGCCCCCCCCCCACTGTAGAGCCTTGCCCCCCCAGCTGCCCCCCTAACTTTTGTTTCCCTAAAACTGTACTAAAACAAACCTACACTATTTCCACAAGCTTCTCAAGCAACAAAACAAGCATTACATTAGTTAAAATTGAATCATTTAAAATATCATTTTAGGCCCGTTAAAAACGCAGCTACGGCCCTGCATT